GTCTTGATTTAAAAGCAGAAACTTTAGTCATCCAATTTTTGTTTTCAAGACAAGCCTGTAATCTAACTAATCGATCAGGTTCATCAGGGTTAATGGATGGATATAATTGAGTATCGTCAGCATAACGGTTAAAGTTTATCCCATGCTCTCTAATGATTTTACCAATTGGAAGCATATATATAGTAAAAAGAAATGGTCCAAGCACTGAACCCTGTGGTACTCCATAAGTAACCCTGGAGAATGAAGATCTGTCATGTACATTTGCAAAATGAAATCTGTCAGACAGGTAGGATTTAAACCAGCCTAGCGCTGTTCCTTTGATCCCTACAACATGTTCAAGTCTTTCTAAAAGAACAATGTGATCAACTGTGTCAAAGGCAGCACTGAGATCTAACAAGACTAGAACAAACACAAGATTCTTATCTGAGGCCACGAGAATATCATTTGTAACTCTCACTAATGCAGTTTCAGTGCTGTGATACTCTCTAAAACCAGACTGAAATTCCTCAAACAGATCATTAGTGTTTAAATGCTCACATACTTGGATGGCCACTATTTTCTCCAGGACTTTGGATAAAAATGGTAGGTTAGATATTGGTCTATAATTCATTGGGTCATCTGGATCCAGAGAAGGCTTCGTGAATGTTTGATCACAGCAACCTTAAAATCCTGTGGTACATATCCATTTACTAAGGATAGATTGATTATATCTAGAATGGGGGCAGTAACCAAAGGAAATGCTTCTTTAAATAATTTGGTTGGGATTGGATCCAAAATGCAAGTTGAAGGTTTAGATGAAGCTAATATTTTTGATAACTCTGAAAGCTCAACTGGATCAAAACGGTTCAAACACAGATTAGGTTCTACAGTTACCTCTGCTGCCTCACTTACTGAGGAAGAAGAAATCGCATTAGAGAGGATGCTAATGGTTTTGTTTCTAATAGAATTAATTTTCCATGTGAAAAATCCCATTAAGTTGTTGCTGCTGAGGGCTAAGGGAATAGATGGTTCAGAGCTATGATTCTGTGCAAGTTTGGCAACTGTACTGAAAAGAAATCTTGGATTATTTTTATTCTCCTCAATTAGCGATGAAAAATAAGCAGTTCTAGATTGTCGAAGCTTATTTTTATAAAGCACAAGACTATTTTTCCAGGATAAGTAGGACTCCTGTTGTGTAGAGCGCCATGTTTTTTTTCCTAGTTTTGTTTTAAAGTTTGTAGATCAGAAAGAAAAACCTGGGAGCCAACTTCCTGTGCTTACTTTCTATTTGATGGAGTTGCTAATGCTAATAATTAGCTTCAACTAGCGGGGATGTTTTCAGTTTCCTGGATGCAAATTTTGGAAACAGTATGTCAAAGGAAGATCCTACCTTTCACGCCTCTAATTAGCTAGAAGGTCTCTCCAATGATTGGCTGTTTCTTTCAGTAGCAAACCACCTTCCCCTGCTTAGTGCATACTCTCCTTTTCATGCCAGATCTTGGGGAGTTTTGTGTAGAAAATTTGAATTTAGCATTATATCACCCATTTTGTCCTGGTTTACCAGTTTCAGTTTCTTTTATAAAAGAACCTGAAAAACATAAAATGTAATAAATCTAATAAATCTTGTTGCATTTATCACACTATTGCATTGACTTTTGTCTTCACTTTAATTTAAGTCTGTTTGCAAGTTAGAACACATCTCTCATTATCTGCTTAAATGTGTATAATTTTATTCAAAGTTGTTTTAATCCAGACCTATTTTTTTCCAGCTTTCATTATTTTTGAAGAGAAACAGAGGTAATGCACACAGCTGGGCAGAATAGTGCAGTTTTATTATATTTCATACTCAGGTAAGGCACATATGTTTATCCTGTGTACTCTACTGTAATAAGACAACCCTAATGCTTGAGGGCCAACAGATAAAAAGTTTAAAAGTGTGATAAATGCAACAAGATTTGTTTATTGGCTCACTGAGTGTGGGCCAGTACGGGGCCAGTAGAAACAATAATGGCTAATTGTCTTGGCATAGAATGGGAAGGATCAGGTCACTAATTTTTCTGATTGTAAAACCAGGTGTGACCCGGACTGCGCCAGTCACGGACTTTTTTGGCTCCCTTCTGTTGTAGGTCCAGAAATTTCTAGAGGGGTACGGTTAGGGTGGAGCAACAACACAGTCCACTGATTGGCTGACAGAAATGCGTCACTAATTGCAACAAGCAAAACAAGAGGAGTTCCTTGTTTGTATTTTCGTTAGCTGTACATTAATGTGAAAAATTGCCAGCAAGTAGCAGCAAGTTTTGGTCACCTTCAGAGTTCCATACAGTCACTTCCAGAGTTCTGTACAGTCACTTCCAGAGTTCCATACAGTCACCTTCAGAGTTCCGTACAGTCACCTTCAGAGTTCCATACTGTCACTTCCAGAGTTCCACACAATCACATCCAGAGTTCCATACAGTCACCGTCAGAGTTCTGTACAGTCACTTCCAGAGTTCCATACAGGCACCTTCAGAGTTCCGTACAGTAACTTCCAGAGTTCCATACAGGCACCTTCAGAGTTCCGTACAGTAACTTCCAGAGTTCCATACAGTCACCGTCAGAGTTCCATACAGTCACTTCCAGAGTTCCATACAGGCACCTTCAGAGTTCCGTACATTTCTCACCATCATCATGAGAGTCCACAGGAGAAGCTCGATAGATCAGTAAGAAATTTTTTTTTCTCAGCGGACGGCAGCACAGTGTCGGGCCAAGATGAAGGAATTAAAGCCCGATAAAGTTAATAGTTAAGGACAGAAACAGCTGGAGTGGATGTTTTGTTTCAGATAGGAGAAATACACAAAGTTGCTACGACGCGCTGGACGCTTTTTATAGTTGAGGCAGGCTTCTGGACTTGGTGACTGCACTCTGCAGTCACATGTGGAGGCTGTGGTAAGCATTTTGTTTTTGTCTTTTGCTCTGTAGGCCAGTTTTTGCAGCACACAAATACAGATTGTTTAACCCCGCCTGCCGACGTGATGGCCCAAACTACAATAGAAATGCTCACCCGAAAATTCCCGAACAAAACCGGAACACACCGGTCCAAAAATAACTAGACCCGACCGTTCCAAACCCGGCGATGGAAAATAGCTATAAGAGTCCTAGAGTGTACGGGCCAGAACTGGGCCAAAGCAAACTTGTGTCGTTGTTCTGTGGGTGAGCCATTGTTGGGCTGAGGGCCAACAGTGGGCCAGTATTCAGGCAAGGTTGTGTCCCACAGATGGGCCAGACAGATGTTGCTATGAGGGCAGAAGCTTCAGATGGCAGGTTTTTGACCGACGCCAGTTCAACAGTGGGGCAAGTGGGGGCATTTCCCCCTCAAATTTGATTCTTGCCCCCTAAAACAGTAATATGCAATTAAACTTTCTTACAGATCATTGAATCATTGTTTGCCGACAGTAAAGCTAGTCGTTGAAGGGACCGATCGAAGCTGGCTCCTGTTTGGAGGTGCAGCTAAACACAGCTAGAACACACCCACACATGCGCGCACACACATGCCTCTGATTGCCGTGAAATGGGGGGTTGAAGCTCACAATATGCTGATGAGACCTGTAAATATTGGCGGAGACAAATCTGTAAAAGAGGGGAAAGGAAAAACAAACAGCGCTGCATAAAGGTGAGGTGAAAACCGAACAGCCGGCCAGACTTGAACACATTTGAACCTGAATGACGATTCAAAGGCAGAGTGTGAAGAGAAAATGTTGTATCCAACAGGCTCTCATGGTTCTAGGCTGATAAATATTTGACTTGCAGTTTGTTTTTGTCAGTAAAATGTGGTTTTGTGGCTCTCTGCTTCATGTTGAATAAAATAGGTTATTTAAATAACAAATATTGGAAACAATGATTTTTTGAAGGTTAGCCAGTTTACACTAGTGCTGTGATGTTCGAACGAATTAAATCTTTTGGACAGCTCTTCAAAGTGAATGATCAGAGGCTTTGTAGAGAAGACTCCCTTTATATTTCTTTATATTTTACTTTTACAAGCAGCTGGGATGTTTGCAGACACAAAAGGTCTAATTTGCAACAAAAGAAGCGCTGCACATGTGTGTTGATGCTTGCATATTTCTAGTAGCTAAACCCCGATGATGAATTATTTATTTTGTTGTTTATTTAGGAATCACGAGCATCGACTGTTGTTCAAGGATGCGGTGGCTGAGGAGTTGAGGGTTGCAGGTTCCCTCCCCAATCAGTCTGTCACAGTTGTACCCTTGGGCAAGACACTTCATCTGCCTTGCCTGCCGCTGGTCGTCGGATGCAACAGGCAGTGGCAACAGAGTGTATGTGGCTGCATTGTGTCTCATGAAGAACGAAAGAAAACTAGCTTATACATCTGATAAAAATCGCAAGAATAAAAATTTTATAAACAAAAGTTTTTTTAATTAGTAAAAAATATAAAATGAGAAAAAGATTTTAAAAATGTAAGGAAGGCAAGAAAGAAAATGAATAGGAAAGAGGGAAATCAGTGGATCCTGGGAAAGGTGGAATAAGAGCAGAACAAGGAGAGGGTGTTGAAGGTCCCACCAAAGCCTGAACAGGTGAGTTTAGAGGAGACCACTGAGTCCACTGATCTCAGGCACAGGGGGAGAGAGGTCCAGAGTCTGGGGGCCACAGCAGAAGATGATCTGTCACCTTTGACCTTTAGCCTGGTGCTGCACAACCAGTAGGCTTTGGTCACTGGACCTCAGGGACCTGCTGGGGGTGTAGGGACTGAGAAGATCACCAATGTATGATGGTGCTTGTCCATGACCAAAACTGTCTCCCTTCACTGTGATCCTCCACATGGGCTCACAGGAATGGATTTTAATGTGTTCATGTATTCTGCATGTCTGCGTTGCTGAAAAGGCCAAAAATGGCTGTCTTTGCAGGCAATCCTAAATTTGGTGGTGAAGGAAAACAATCTGCCTGAGGAATCCTGAACTGGACAACTCTGTTCTCGTTAGTTAAAGGGATGCAGACTTCCTGTATCAATGGCCCCTGTTTTTGCTCACCTGTGAAAACATCCTGGAATCCACAAAGAGACACCTGCCCACAGGAGGATCTTCTGGTCCCACAGATGGGTTGACTGCCTCCTCCTCTGTAGCCCATCAGGTATTCTCCTGAACCTCCTCCATCCTCCTCTCTGCTCCTCAGTCTCCTGTCAAGCTCCTCGGTCCAGTCAGCTGAGCGGCTCAGAGAACCAGCCAGACTTCGGGAGCGCGGTCTACGGCTCTGGTGTCCTTCAGCCATCGCCCTGTCAGGATTCACAGTTTCACTGGAGTTTCTCAAACACCAATAAATTGTTCCTCAACTGTTCCGACTTGTTTTGTTTCAGTAGGTAGGAAATACAGAGCTGTGCACATCTGGAAAGGTTGTAGGATTTGTGCTTCCAAAACCTGCAACAGCAATAGATCTGTTGGGTCCTGGAGCTGGAATTCTCCTAGATTGTAAGTTTTATACTTCATTGTTTAAAGTTTGAAGAGAAACTAAAGCATATATTTGGCAAAGCCGATGCTTTTTAGACCCTGCTAACAGGAGGAAGTGTTTGTCGGCTATTGGGTGGCACGACAGGAGGGCTATTATGATTTTTAATCACCTTTATATCTTGTGGGAGCAAATTAGGTGAACTTTTGTTTGTTTAAATCGTAACTAATGATCAGTAATCTTTTAAGTCTAGTTTTGTTAGAAATAAATGGCAGATGTAAAAGAAACATAAAGCTGGAAGAACGTTTGGCTACAAAGTCCTTTTCTTGACTGTTTTCATTTGGAAAAAATCCAGCGTAACATTAAAACTTCTGCTGATCGGGGTGCTAACGGCTGTCGGCTGCTGGAATATAGCAAGTCCACCTGCCGTTCCAAAGTGAAGATCAGTTGGGGTCGTGGTTTGAGTCACCGAATAAAAGTGATCTGCTGAGAATCTACATGTGGCTCACCCAGAGCCCACTGCTTTAGCGTCAGGCTTCTCTTCACAGTGTTGATCCAGCTTTGACAGGTCTTCCTATTTTCAGCCAGGCTGGAGCACCAACCTTCAACACTTCCCTATGGAGGAGGGACCTGGGACGGGAGGCATCTGAACAGCTGTGGTCAGGTTTGTGCTCACCAGAGTTTCATCCTAAACTGGACCATAAAATGACTGAACGCATGTGCTGTTGAGATGTTTATTCATACTAAAGTGAAGGAGGTTATGCTGTTTTGTTTACAACATGTAATGGCTCTTCCATTCAGCGGCTGACATCTGTTATTGCAGCGAGTTCATGATTCTATCTAGTTTTGGTCTGGATGTTAGATTTTTACAGTTTGTTTTGCAGATTCTCCACAAGGTGAGGTGTAAAAGAAAAGGCTGTGTCAGCCTCATACCTGCAGATGTGAAGGTGGGCCTTACGTGGGGACGAGGGGCTGTTGGACGGGGACAGGCCTGGGGAGTGTCCCGGGGAGCTCAGCTGTCTCGTTGTAGTCTTGATGTAAGACGGGAAGATGGGAGGGTAAGGTTTCACCCCGTGGCTACAGGAGTTGGAGGAGTGGTTGGACCTAAGGAGCTGCTTGGCCTTCTTGGGGCTTTCCTGAGGAGCTGGTGTGGTGAAACAGATGCCGCTCCTCCTGCACTGGATGTCTGAGGAGGTCGTCCTGGTGCAGGCAGCAACGGTGTGGCTAGTTCCAGAACCAGCATTCAGGCCGTCCTCCAGTGACTCTGCACTGGTACCCGAGCCTAAACAACAACCTCCTTCTTCAAAAGCATTCCCTGAGCTCGGGGCCTCTGTGGGTTCTGAACACTTTGTGTTGGTTCCTCCAAGTGGAGGACTGAGGTCCATCTCCTGGTCTTCCTCCAACCACGTTTCACCTTCTGCTTCCTCTGCCCCCCTCAGATGTTTTTCTAAACTGGCTTCGTGGGAGCTACAGGTTTCCATGGTGATTGGGCTGATTCCTACATCCCTGGCAGTAGTCAAGGAGCTGTCTGTGATAAGGACCTGCTGCAGCAAAGCATGCTGATCTTTTGTGCTTGTGGCAACACAAAGAGAGGCTTCTGTCTCCTGTTGCCTCTGGCCATTTAGCCATGGATGCCCCACCTCCTCCTCCAGCTGCCCCCGCTGCTGCTCTTGAGTGCCATGGGAGACAGGGGTCTGTGGGTCTTGCAGGAGCACAGTCAGGTCTGTGGACTTCAGAGAGTCGGACAGAGTTCCTGTCTCTAGGAACGACAGGGCGTCAGACCCCAGCTCTAGTTCCAGCCCCTCAGGGGCAGACGCGTCCACATTCCCGTTACTGAGCTTCGTCCTCTCTTCTGCCGCCCTCCCGCTCAGGTCCCCTCCTCCCACTCCACGTGTTTCCATGACTGCAATAACTCCACCATGCTGCTGATGCTGAAGTCTAATAGCAAGCTGGATGTCTGCCAGCAAATCCTCATGGTCGGCTGCTGAGTGGAAGCTGTAGATGTCAGTGTCTGACCCTGAACTGCCTCCTTTCTGCCCCCCATCATCCGCGGGAGAAGTGGCAGCAGTCGAGGCTCTTCTCTGCACCCCCTGCTTTTGCTCGTTTCCTCCTGCTCCATCCCTGCTCCGCCTCTCTTCTGGTTTCTGACGCTTGTCGGGAAACACTGCTTCTGTGTCCGACTGTCCTAGTTCGTCAGCAGACAGGTCTGGTGTTTTGGTGCTGTCCAGCTCATCGTGCTTAGACACCAACACATCCTCCTTCGACCCTGTTATTGATGAGCACGTATCTCCTTTCCCTCTCAGGTTGCTCTTCCTCTTGCGGAGGGAAAAAACTGAGGACTTGCAGTCAGGTTTGATTTTCTTTTTCACTGGTCCTGTGCCATGTGTCCCCCCTCCTCCCCCACTCCCAGCTCCTTTACCTCCATGCTTACTGTGGATTTTCTTGCCCCCTTTCTTTGCCATGTCCCCTCCTCCCTCCTTCCATCCTTCATCCAGTGAAGGGAAGCTTCCATTGCTTGATGCGGCTGCAGCTCGCTTTTGCTTTGCTTCCTGATTTCCCATGGTGATGGCGATGGCGCGATGGCTGCCTCCCTCGCCTCTCAGCTCATGCCTGGAGTAGCTCTTCCTATTTTGGGGAGATTTTGGTTCCCCATGAAGGTGAAAGTGCTGTAGCCTGATCCTTGAATGTGCTTGTGGTGAAGGCGGAGCTTCTCTGGATGGTGTGTTTTTATTTCCTTCAGGCTCGGATGCGATGATCTTCCTCTGTTTTCCGGTGACGGTGCAGTGATGTTGACACTGATGCAGGGGAGGCATACAGCTCCCTCCTTCTTCTACACAGCCCAGCTCTTACCCTCCCCCCTGCTTCTCTCCATCTGCTGAAAGGAGTGACGAAAGCACCATGTGCTCATTGAGACTCTTGACAGGGAGGCAGAAATCAGGCTCAGCTGGGATGTAGCATAGCATAGCATAGTTTATTTATATAGCACATTTAAAATGCAGCATGGGAGCTGCCCAAAGTGCTGCACAGGCTAAAACAAAACACACCCATTACAAGGAGCTAAAACAAAGGATAAAAATCTCAATTAAAAGCAGAGAAAACATGATGAATACTAAGAGCACATTAAAACAATGACACAATAAAACACTAAAACGAGTCACTGTCTAAAAGCCAAAGTGTAAAAGTGGGTCTTTAAACGAGATTTAAAAACCGCCAGAGATGGAGCCTGCCGAACTCCAATGTAGACAAAACCCGGTTCTCAGCAGAACGGCTGATGGTGAGACAGGCAGGAGGATGAAGGAGTACCGGCAGGTTGAGTTGGACCCTCCTTTTTGGCTGTCTTGTTTTTCCCCTGCAGCTAATTACTACATTTGCCATTATCCTTAGACTACGCAACAGTAGTCCTGAGCATAACTGTAGAGAACATTTCAGTCTTTTCCCCTCACTAACTAAACTTGCTGAGAGCCACAAATCACGCTTTAAGTGGAAACCAAACACCTTGTTAAGTTGGGTTTAAACATTACATTTGGTACATTCTTGACTAATGTTGGGTTTTCTGAACCCAACACAATCTTTGTCTAAATGTAAATATGTATGATCAACCTGTGAGGAGTGCTCTGGTTTCCTACTTCTGAATAATACAAATCTAAATTCTGGTACAGTCACTGCTTCATTTCTACTAAAAGATGCAGGATGCACATCTGACTTTGGCTCTTTTGCATGCTACTCCCATTGACCCTGTAGTTACGTGTATGTTTGATAGTTTTCGCCTGCTGGTGATGGTCAGAGGGACCGGTGGCGCCTGTGTACGGCAGACTCGCCTCTGTCAGCGCGCCCCAGGGCAGCTGTGGCCACAGTGTAGCTCATCACCACCAGCATGTGAATGACTGATTGTTTTGTAAAGCACCTTGGGGGGTTCCAGGCAGTGTTGTTTTTGTTAACGAAAACTATGACAAATTGATTTCGTTGATGCCATTTTTTCCATTATGAAAACGAGACGTGACGAGCTAAACGCAGCTCTTTGGTCACTAAAACGAGACGAAGAGAAGTTTCGTTAACAAGTCGAGACTAGACGAAAACTATGCTCAAGATACTCATTTCTGCCTGTCTCACAAAAGTTAAAAGTAAAAGTGCTGCTGCTGTTGTTTTTGCGTTGTCTGCTCACAGACCAGCCTCAGCAGCTGAGTGAAGCTTCAAGGTTCTTTTGGGGTAAAGCCCGCATAAACAGAACACAGATACAACATGTGCACCCCAACAAATAAGACAAACAACACCCAAATCTCATCTGTCAGCCAGAACCGGCCCACCAGCAATAAAATTTAACCCAGCAAATTATTTTGTATTTTCACTATTTCTTAACTTTTGTTTTCTTATTTATTAATTATAAGCTATTTGGAAATGCTTTCTGAAAAAGTTGGGAAATAATCAAAAGCTAGATTAGGTTAATAAATAAGATGGATTACAGTAATAAATAAGATGGATGGATAATGGATTGATCTTGTGAAGGAGATTTTTAAAATTCATAAAACCAGACAAACAATGTATAGAAGGTAGCAGCAGCAATGGAACAACAGTTTCAAATTATTTAATTTACATAAAAACAATTAACAGACAGAATAATGTACAAGTCTAGGTTTTCTTTGCAACAGTTACAGATGAAATGTGATCCCATGTTCTCTATGGGATTAGATTTGTGTCAATAGGAACAAGTCAAACACTTTGACGATCAAACAAATATTTAGAAATTGACAGAAACAAAATATTGACTAAAGCGGAAAAAAAATTCTAAAGTAAAACTTACTATCTGAATCAACTTCTTAAAATGAGTAATAAAGTATGTTTCCTTTTCTGTCTGCCTCTATGTGTTTTTGTTATGAGTTTCCTTAGTTTCATTCTCGTTGCTCAGAGCTTTGCTCTCACTACCAGATTTGCACTTACACTTCCTGGCTTTCTCCTTTGCAATCCCAGAGTTTTTAGTTGCAGTTCTGACACAACCCTTTCGGGTGGGTGGGACTTCTGAGAAGTCCTTTCCCATAGGACAGTGGTTTCTCTTGAGTGACAGTTCAGTGACCCGGAATGATGTAGCCTCCAAGACTTTTTTTTCCCCCCACCTCGGTCAACAACATGAATTTTTTAGCCCCAAACACATTATTTCTGCTGTCTGTGAAGTCTACTGAGTATTGATAATGTATTTTATATTTTCTTAGGCACTCGTAGTTAATCTGTAAGTTAAGCCACTAGGACAGTGGTTTGTCTTAACATACTTTATTACTCATTTAGTAAGTTTTACTTTTGAAACAATTTTTTTTCTTTTGTCAATATTTTTGTTCTGTCAATTTCTTAATTTTTGTTTGATCTTCAGTGTTTTTCTTGATCATTTTAAGAAGCTGGTTTAGATAGTTTTTCTTGATCATTTTAAGAAGCTGGTTTAGATAGTAAGTTTTTCTTTTGAAACAATTTCTTTTCTCAATGATCTTCAAAGTGTTTTTTCTTGATCCTATTGGCACAAATCTAATCCCATAGTTGTCTCAGTTTGTGACAGCGGCGATTCGAGCATCCGTAGGCTGCACGAAAGTCAGGCATGTCGACCCTCAAGCTTCACAATTACTAAAGGTGCTGTTCTGCAAACACAAATCCAGAATGTCCAGTTTGAAGTTTGAATACATCTTAATGTAAATAAATGAAATATATCTTAATATAAGTTTTGTGTAACAAACCAAGACACTTGAATGTCACGGGCAATACAGCATTCATTAATTTAAAATAAAATGAGCGACTCCCACTGAAGTAAATTGTCAACTTTGTTTTGCTAAGCAGCAAGGGCGTAAGAACTGGGGGGGCGGGCGGGACGTGTCCCCTCCAATTTTGGACAAACACGCATTTGTCCCCCCAATAACATGGAGAAGAAAAAAATAGATTTTGAAAATTTTGACTCGTGAGCTTTTATTTTGAAAGACATTGCGGACTTCTCACCAACACAGCCCTCTGCTGCCCGCTCTCCCCTCTCCAATGATGCAGGCCCATGCGCAATCCAATGTGTAGACCCCATCGTCTCTGTTCATGGTCCCACATCCACGTCTCCTTATCTCTGTGGCTTCCTGCATCATTGGAGAGGGGAGAGCGGGCAGCAGAGGGCGACAACATCCTCTGCTGCCTGTGGATAAACGGACTAGGAAGTGACGCCACCATCAGCATCAGCTCTGAGGATGTTTTGCAGCCGCGAACAAAACCATCAGCAAGGTAAAGAAAACCCTTTCCTGTGTTTTAAAAAAGAACCAAAAAATGGAAACTAAATGCAGCAAGAACACACCAAAGTTGTATTAAATCTGTTTACACATCTCTACCCATATGAATAAGATAATATATCCTACATTCATATTATTAAATAAAAATGAAACAGTGCTGATATAAAACAGCTTTTTTTAAATGAAACGTCCACGTTGGCCGGTAATCACCTGGATCTGGCTGATGGGGAGTCTAAGTCTCCTCCCCTTTTGGTTGGCTCACGGGTCCACGATAAAAAAAAAATGTTAGTGAACTGGGCTATAAAAGTTATTTTCTTGTCTTTCTGGGCTTGGCCTTACACCCTGAGTCACACATATGTTGTACTTCAATTCAAATGCTAATTATGTGTCTTTTGACTGTCACATAATTAGAGATTTATTAGCTAGTAAAAATTAATTATTAACTCAGTATTTTTTAACTTCTTATTCATGTCCACTGTTTTCATATTAGAGGGCAGATGAAGTTAAGCAGGAAACAGCTGCCAGTGAGTCAGGGAGAGCCAGACCTGCAGAGGGTGAGACAGGGAGAGGCAGACCTGCAGAGGGTGAGACAGGGAGAGGCAGACCTGCAGAGGGTGAGACAGGGAGAGCCAGACCTGCAGAGGGTGAGACAGGGAGAGCCAGACCTGCTGAGGGTGAGACAGGGAGAGCCAGACCTGCAGAGGGTGAGACAGGGAGAGGCAGACCTGCAGAGGGTGAGACAGGGAGAGGCAGACCTACTGAGGTGCAGGTAGGTGCTACTATGAAGCCAGTAATGCTCGAGAGGTGATTTTAGATTGCTGAGAAAATGAGAAAATAGTATGCTAAATGTTTTCAAACACTGCCGTTTCACCACTTGGTAGTCAATTGGCGTTAATATAACCGAGTAAATGTGAACATACAGAAATGCTCACCATACAGTTGATGCGGATAGATTCATGATAACTCCAGCACTCATCTGTGTTAGATCACAGAGAGTAGACAAATGCTCATATTTAACCAAAAAGGAAAAATAGGGGTTCTTGCTTGTTGCAACGGCAGTCTCTTTGCCTTGTGTGACATTGTTACTGTTTTCCTTTTTAGGATGTTCAGAGCAGGGGCAGACAGCTGAGAGCCACTGAAGTCAAGGGACAGTGGACAGAGCCATATCAGCCACACCCAAAATTCACTGACACTCAGGTTTTGTCTGAAAGAACTCCGTCTTTGCAAGAGCAGTGGTACAAGGCCTCCCCCTGGCTACATTATGCTGCAGTGCAGAAGGGCGTTTTGTGTTTTTATTACATGAGAACTTACCTGGACAAACCCATTTGCTGTAAAATCAGAGCCTACCTTCATCACTTCTGGATTCAAAAATTGGAAAAAAGCAATAGAGAAATTTAAAGCACACAAAGGTATTCATGCTGTCTGTGACTGCACAAGAAAATCACCCAATAAATACGCAGTTGTCCAGTGTTTTGTCAAATCAACAAGTAGACAACAGGCATTGTCTAGAGAAAATTGTAAGTTCTATCAAATATTTGGCACGACAGGGACAGGCTTTGAGAGGACATGAT